CAGATGCTATCCGTTTGGAAATGATCATCCTGCTATTATCATCCTGCCAATAATTATAAGGAGAAGACACCCCCTGATATCGGCAAGTACTTTTTATTATTATTATTCTTTGCATGAATATTTTTGATTCTGGCGAAAAAGAGAAAATAATGGAACTTGCGGTACTCTCGAAATACTGATCCATCGGCTTGAAGGTGATGAATCATGAAGGGATCGTGAAAGCTCAGGGTGTGTGAGCGCGCGGTTATATATTAACAAAAAAAATTTATTCCATGAGTTTTTATTTACGCGGAAGTCAGCCATTCGTTGTCTGGAGGAAAAGAAGTTCGAGACAGGTGCTTTCTTTAACATCCCTTCATGTTACAGCATCCACATGAAAGATATGTATGTCGGTAGATAGATATACGTTCGCGTATATATGTATACACATTGTGAGGCATTAGTTTACAGTCCCCATGGGCGTAGGGTTGGTTTTGGGGCGAAAGAGGTCTTTGGGGCCCCATATAAAATACGTGTGGCCACGCACTCCATCCTTACGCAAAAGGGATGTCCCTGCAAAAGTTATAATTGCTAAATGTCAGTTGGAAGGGAACTTTTTTTTTTTATACGTCATGACACCCTTTTTTTATTATACTTTTTTTTTGGCCTCGACACGAACTTCGAGAACATGCACTTCTCTCGTCGTGGTCCTTTTTTGCGGAAATAAGCTTCAACTCCCATTTTCACCCTACTGAAAAGGTCCTCTCTCTCTCTCTCTTTTTCTCTCGCACCTCCGAATGGTCGTTGCGTCCTCCCGTTGAATTTTCTTTTCCTCTTTTGCCCCCCAATTTCATGAGGTTGCTCACGGCTACGACGAGACGCGACCTTAGTCAGCACTTGCTTCGACATATTTTTTTTTCTCCTTTCTTTCCTTCTATTCCGAGATTCTTCATACTTCCGGGTCACATTCTTCCGTTGATATCCATTCATGCCTTCTTTTGTACGTACAAAAATAAAAAAAGAAAAAAAAAAGAAGAAAGAAACTGCTCTAACTGCAAAAGTGTCGTGAAAATGCACTACGCGAATAATTAGGAATTCTGTTCTCATTCATTCGGAACTTTTTTCGAGCTTTGTAGACTCGACTACTTTTGTCAAAGGGGTGGGGGGAGAGGGAGGGTGTGTGATAACGTCACGTATTTCACCTTTTCTGTTAGGGAGAGACAGAGAGAGAGAAAGAGAGAGGATGAAAATGCGCACGTACATGTGCATTTGATGTGTAGAATTATGCATGAAGATCAAGATTTTCAAATATGCCCCTTCGGCTCTTTTTTTTGAGCAACAAAGGCGATTTACGAGAGCGAGTATATGTCTCTGGGTAACTGACGACAAAATCGATTTCGAAAATGTGTTTCAGAAATGAAAAAATAGTATTAGAGATAGAGGGAATTTTTTTATTATTCTGATTCAAAAATTCTTCTGATCAAAACCTAATAATAAATTCTTTTATTTATATTGAAGATTTTTTAATTTATTTCAAGTAAATTGGAAATTTTTTATTTGAATTTCAATAATTTTCGAAATGCTTTCGTGGTCCAGTACAGGGTTGCCACAAAACTTTAATTTTGTTTTTCCCTGATTTCCAAAGAAAATTTTTACTTTTTTCCTGACTCTGAAGAACATTAGTAACTTCTTTCTTAAATAAATATTTAATTATTATTATTTTTCTATAAGAATTAAGATTCTCAAATTCAAACCTTCTGAAATTCAATAACTTTTGAGAATATTATTATAAAACATGAAGAAATCGACCACTCCGAGTCGAAGACTCGGAGTGATCTATTTCCTCATGTCTTCACCCTTTGGTTAAAAATTTAAAATTATTAAAATTAGCAAAAATTCGAAAAACCGAATTTCTTAAAATTCAACATTTTTTCTTCTCTTTTATGGCATTCAGCTTCATTATTTTTGTGCTCTTTAAAAATACTTTACTTATTTAATAGTCTCCACCCTTTGGCAAAAAATCTAAAATTATCAAAAATTATCAAAATTTCGAAAAACCGAATTTCTTAAAATTCAACATTTTTTCTTCTCTTTTATGGCATTCAGCTTCATTATTTTTGTGCTCTTTAAAAATACTTTACTTATTTAATAGTCTCCACCCTTTGGCAAAAAATCTAAAATTATCAAAAATTATCAAAATTTCGAAAAACCGAATTTCTTAAAATTCAACATTTTTTCTTCTCTTTTATGGCATTCAGCTTCATTATTTTTGTGCTCTTTAAAAATACTTTACTTATTTAATAGTCTCCACCCTTTGGCAACAAATCTAAAATTATCAAAAATTATCAAAATTTCGAAAAACCGAATTTCTTAAAATTCATCATTTTATCTTCTCTTTTATGGGATTTAGCTTCATTATTTTTGTGCTTTTTAAAAATACTTTACTTATTAAATAGTCTGCACCCTTTAGCAAAAAATCTAAAATTGTCAAAAATTATCAAAAATTCGAAAAACCGAATTTCTTAAAATTCATCATTTTTTCTTCTCTTTTATGGCATTCAGCTTCATTATTTTTGGGCTCTTCAAAAATACTTTACTCGTTTTTTAATCTCCACCCTTTGGTAAAAAATCTAAAATTATCAAAAATTATCAAAAATTCGAAAAACCGAATTTCTTAAAATTCATCATTTTTTCTTTTATTTTATGGCATTCAGCTACATTATTTTTGTGCTCTTTAAAAATACTTTACTCGTATTTTTAATCTCCACCCTTTGGTACAAAATTTTAAATTATCAAAAATTCGAAAAACCGATTTTTTTAAAATTCAACATTTTTTCTTCTTTTTTATGGCATTGAGCTTCATTATTTTTAGGCTCTTTAAAACTACTTTACTTATTTCATAGTCTTCACCTTTTGGTAAAAAATTTAAAATTATCAAAAATTTTAAAAACCGAATTTCTTAAAATTTTTAGCGAATTCCAGTGGAATTTGTAATTTAATTTCCACGTCGTATAATATATATTATATCTTGAAATTTCTGATAGAATTTCTATTGAAGAGACATTTTTCTATTTAATTGAATTTCACAGAACTGTTTTTTTCAATTCTCTGAATATATTTGAAACCTTTTGAGAAACTTCATTAAAAAATTAAAAATGATTGAATTGGTGCGAAGAAATATATAAAAAAATTGATATGTATTTGAATTCCTGCGTGAAATTTTATTCAAACAATAGAATTCTTTTGTAAAATTTTATTAAAATAGTAGATATAAAAAATAATTGGAATGAAAAAAATTTTTGAAACTTTGCCAAGAATTTTATTAAATTTTTTAAAAATAATTGAATTTCGGAGAGGAATTTTATTAAATTTTTTAAAAATAATTGAATTTCGGAGAGGAATTTTATTATTTATAAAAATAATTGAAATTTTGACGAGAGTTTTAAAAAATTTTTTAACATAATTGAATTTATGCGAAGAAGTTAATTCTAATTCTAATTCTAATTAAATGAATTACGAATAATTCACATTTCATTAAGAATAATTCTCATTTCATGTTTAAAACATCTTTAAATATCGCAGATTATTAATCTGTTTGATATTTCAAAGAAAATATTATAGTTATATTTGAATTGCTAAAACAAATTATTCTCTTTAGAATTAATATACATGTGGAATAATCTCGGTAATTAATTTTGTCCAACAGATTCGATAATATAATCCTCTATAATATCTATCAATCGTTAACTATTAGACTTATAATTTATTAGACTTATTCATAATTATTATTTATTTGCATTAATTCATAAACTATTTATTATAAATCGAGAAATTAGATAATCTGAATTCAGTATTAACTTTCACGATTTTGAGAATACAATTTAATTGATTTAAATAAAAATTATTTGATTGAAGTAAATATTTTTTTGATAATATTTGGTCTGGAAATCAGGAAAAAAGTGAAAGTAAATTTTTGTGGAAACCCTCTTTTTCATAAACTAAAATCGAATTATTTAATCTGAATTCAGTATTACACCTTTCACGCTTTCGAGATTAATTTTTTGAGGTATGTTTAAATATCAAGAATTTTGAATTGCAACAAGAAATTATAATTTCTTAAATTTATCGTTTTCCTTCGGTTTCATTTAATTTTCCACTTTCGTGTAAAGTTTTGAGTAAATATTTCAAAAAACGAAATCAATGTAAACATTTATGGAAATTTTGTTCCATTTCATAAGATTTACATACGCACGCTCTACTGATGTTTAGATCAATATTTCCCTTCCTCTTTCTTTCTCTTTCTCTCTTCTTCTTTCTCCAATAATAGCTTTCGTACAAGTACAAGTGTATTTAACTGAAGATATATTTATATGAAATACGAAACAACTATTCTCATAAAATACATAAACAAATAAGAAAAGTTTCCGTTCGGGAAAAAAACGGAACTTGCCTCGACGTTATTAGAAAACAAAAAAAAAAAAAAATCCGAAAACGACATATTGTGGTCTCATAAAGTGTTTTTCAAAAGAGACTTAAAAAAAAAGTTTTCCCGGGTTTCGTTGCAAGTCTTGAAATCTCATTTTCCCCTCCTCGAAGGAAAAAAAACCTCCATAACTTATCACATTTGAAACTTGTGTTGTCAGAAGTTCTCTCTGACTAACTCTCGCGCCTTCGGCTTGTTGGTATGGAACGTCGATTTAGTGGTTCGTGAAAATTTCAATAACAGGGAAAAATTGAAACGAAAGAAGAAAATCTCGATAGAACGAATCACAAATAACGTTAAAAGGAAATAAATATTATTAAAATGAAACGCGAAAGTAAAGTACAAAAAATAAAATAAATACAGAAAATAAAGTAAAAAATAAATAAAACAAAAAATAAAATAAAAAATAAATGAAATAAAAAACAAATAAATAGATGAAAAATAAATCAATAAACAGAATAAAAATTTTAACAAAAGAAAATATAAAGTTATTTTTGTAATTAATTTTTTATACAAACATTTATTTAGATAGAAAATATTTTCATTAATCTGTACATTTTCTCTTTAATGAGTTTTTCTCCCTTTTTATAAATTTTTTTTTATTTTATGTTTTTTTCCTTTTATCTACTTTTTTGACGTTTCTACAAAATATTTTTGTAATCGTTTAAGCCAAGCTTTCCAGTAAACTGGCAAATGCTCTCCATCTATTTCATAAACTGTTGCCTCTTCACCATTCGTGTAGGCAACAACGACGAGACCTTTTGTTACCTGACAACAAAAAATTCACTTATGTTAATTAAACAAAAAACATGTAAAATTGAACATTTTTCATTTTTGCCTTCAAATGTTCATGAAATAATTTTATGAAAATAAAGTACTTGACGAACTCACCCTCTTTTGTATGCGCAAGGAAAAAAAGTCCTTTTTCATTATAATTGAAAACTAATTTATGATTAAATATGATACTTTATGATTTAAAAAACAAACAAAAAATACTTTCGATTGAATGAATTTGCATTTGATTAAAATTAGAATTAATTGAAGTTTAAGCATTTAAAAATGAAAAGAAAATGAAAATTAAATAGAAATTGAAATTAAATAATCAATTACAATAAAATTAAAATAAAAATAAAAATTTATAAAATAATAATGTTTTTTAATGTTAAATCATTTAATTTTTAAATAATTGCAATTTCAATTCATTGAATTTGCATTTGATTAAAATTAAAATGATTTGAAAATTAAATAATTTTACACTGAAAAAAATTTGATTCATATAACTGATTACTAAAACCGATAACTGGTGAATTATCAAGTGAATATTTACTTGAGTTAAATAAATTTTATTTAAATCAATTAAATGGTATTTTCTTCAAATACTGAAATCATCGCTTTAAATACAATTTAATTGATCTGAATAAAAATTAGTTGATTCATATAAATATTTATTTGATAATGGACAAGTGATCAGTTACTTGAATCAAATAAATTTTTGTCAAGTGTAAAAGAAACTGTTTTAATTAATAATATTTTTATTATTAATCATAATTTTAATAAGTATAATAAACAATAAATAATAATAATTAAATAAAAATTAGGATTAAATTGAAGTTCATTCAAGGATAAAATTTAAAATTATTAAAATTTGAATAAATGACTTTAAATTTTGGAAAAATTAGTATTTTAAATATATTAAAATTGATTATTTTCGAAATTGTCAAGTTTTACGGAAAGTTTTCAACTGACCTCGAATGGGTAATTCAAATCGGCATTCATTGCTCCAATGTAAGATGCAACTTGCATCGGTGCATCGTAAACAGAATCAATTGTATCCTTTCGTTTATCCGATTTTTTCCAGTCGATTAAACACAGCTCGCCTCTGCAAAACAGAATTTCATTTAATATTACAAGCTGATTGATTTCAATAGCCACGATGACTATTGGTTTTGAAAAATTGAAACATAATCGTTACAAAATTTTTAGAAAGAAATATTTTTGATTTCAGAAATGTCTAAAAAAAACTTTTTTAGAACTTTTTAGTCTCCTTAAAGAAGTTTAGATTATTAAGTATGCAGAAATTTTCCTCATTATTATTCCTCTTACTTTTGATTGATATGAGGGTTTTTTTTTTTTTTTTTGAAATTCTATTTTACCTGTAAGTTGCAACGCAATCTGTAATTCCTCGGTAAAAAAGTTTTGGATGTACTACGTGAGTTTCAAGAGCAGTAACTGAACTTATATCCTTTAATACATTTTGTACACTTTCAAAGGCAGGCTTAACTCTTTCCGGGATTTGATATTCTTTTTGAAGTAGTGCATTTTCAATTGAACTATGAAGATCGTGACCGTCTTTGAATAAATCTGCAAATGGTGAAAAGAAATTTTTTTTAAAAGAGAAAAAGAAATTACTAATTGAAATAATTTTTTTTATTGATAGACTGATAGAAATTGATAGAGAAATAAAAATTGATAGACATAGAAATTAGTAAATATAAAAATTTGTAAGCATAGGAATTGATACAGGGTTGCTACAAAAATTTAATTTTGATTTTCCTTAATTTCTCTCTACTTTCCAGACAAAATTTGGACTTTTTCCCAGATCCTAAAGAATATTCTGATTCACACTAAAAATTATTAGATGCTCAAAGAAATGTTTTATTACAATTATTTGTGAATTTTTTATTAATTGGAAAATTATTCAGAAACATGAATAACTTCTTTTTTAAATAAATATTTAATTACTTTTCCGAAGGAATTAAAATTTTCCAAAACATTAAAATTCAAACGTTTTTCAAAATCAACAACTTATAATAATTTTCTACAATTTCTACAATTTTTAACTAAAATTCTTCATTAAATCAATTATTTTTAATAATTCTTGATAAAGTTCTTTGGAGAATTTTCAAATTCATTTGTTTATAATTCAACTTTACGAAATTTCAAATATTCGGAAATTTCTCAATTAAATACACATTGGAAAATTAAAACTTAAAATGATTTTAAAAAATTTTGATTCAGCTTTTCGAAAAAAATTAATTCCATAGAATTTTTAATTAAAAGTATGAAAAATTCAGATTTTCACAGATTTTAATTTGAAACCTTTAGAAAATTCAATTATTTCTAAAAATTACAATTATTAGTAAATTTTTCAAAATTTAATTATTATCTAAAACTTTAACTGAATTTAATTTTTAAATCAATTTTTATTAGAAAATTCTACGAGAATTCAATTATTTTAATACAAACATAGATAATTTATTGAATAATTGAATGTTTCTAAAAATTTAATTATTATACATAATTTTATCAACAAATTTTTAAATTATTGAATTCAGTCGACGAATGTTAATAAAATTTTTAAGGATGATTACATTTTTCGAGGAATTTGATTAAAATTGTATTAAAAATAATTAAAATTCTGCAATGATTTTTATTGTTTATAAAAATAATTGAATTATTGCGAAGAATTTTATAAAAAAGTTTCAAAAAATTGACTTTTTTCAAAAAAGAATTATGTAAATTCTATTTTTAATAATTGAATTCCTGTGGAAATTTTCATTATTTCAGAAAATAATTGAATATTCGTGTAGAATTTTGTCAACATTGTTTTTAAGTATTTAAATTCTTTTGTAAAACTTTATTAAAATAACAAATATACAAATTATTGAATTAAGGAAAATTTTTGAGAATAATTGAATTTTGCAATGAATTTTATTACAATTTTTGAAAATAATTGAATTTTATTACCTACTTTTGATAATAATTGATTACTTGTGATGAATAATGTTATTTTTTATGAAAATAATTAAATTTTTCTATGAATTTTATTAAATTTCCTGAAAATAATTAAATTTTGACGAAGAATTTTGCTATTCATTTATAAAAATAATTGAAATGTTGAGGACAGTTTTTTTTAGATTTTTTGAAAATAATTGAATTTCTGCGAAGAATTTTAATAATTTAGAAAATAATTGAATTCTTGTGATAAATATTGTTATTTTTGAAAATAATTGAATTTTGCAATGAATTTTATTAAAATTTTTGAAAATAATTGGATTTTATTACCTATTTTTGATAATAATTTGAATACTTGTGATGAATAATATTATTTATGAAAATAATTAAATTTTTCCATGAATTTTATTAAATTTCCTGAAAATAATTAAATTTTGTCGAAGAATTTTGCTATTTATTTATAAAGATAATTAAAATGATGACGACAATTTTTTTTAGATTTTTTGAAAATAATTTTATTTCTGCGAAGAATTTTATTAATTTTGATAATAATTTGAATACTTGTGATGAATAATATTATTTATGAAAATAATTAAATTTTGCCATGAATTTTATAAAATTTCCTGAAAATAATTAATTTTTGTCGTAGAATTTTGCTATTCATTTATAAACATAATTAAATGATGACGACAATTGTTTTTAGATTTTTTGAAAATAATTCTATTTTCGCGAAGAATTTTATTAATATTGAAAATAATTTAATTCTTGTGATAAATATTGTTATTTATGGAAATAATTGAATATTGCAATGAAGTTTATTAAATTTCCTGAAAATAATTCAATTTTGTTCAAGAATTTTGCTATTCATTTATAAAGATAGTTAAAATGATAGTTGAATTCAAAGAATTACGTTAAAATATTTAAAATTGAATCTAATTTTAACAGAATTGAAATTGAAATTTAAAAAAAAATACTTCATTTAATGATTTATAGGTAATAACTTTATAGCAGTTCTCCAATGGAATTAAGTTATTCAAAATAAATTATTGTCTGAAATAGAAAAAAATTAAATGTTTTTTTTTAGAATTTGTGTTAATTTCATTGTTTAGGAAGCAAACAAAAAGATACAAAAATTGAGAATTTTCTTATAAATTTTAAACATTTAATTTTTTCCAGTACTTTTAATAAAAATTCCTGATTTTTCCCTGAATTCTCTGACCTGTGACAACCCTGTTGATAGACATAGAAATTAGTAGATACAAAAATTGATGGAATTATTTTTTGAAATATTAAATTAAAAAAAAATACTTTTTTGATATTCGTTGAATCCATCTACTCCTAGTTTTTTTATCATCCCTGCTTTCCAAATTGCTAAAGCATTTTTTGCAGCCTCTGACATTGTCGCAGATAAAATTCGTGTCACACTCGGTAAATTGTTATTGGAAGTGTCCGCTTTTGCAGATAATGAAATAACTCCCTTATTAACTGGCAGCTTTTTGTGAACAATTCTTCCTGACTTGGTACTGTCATACAGTGAAAATGAAAGCATATTTTGAATAATTATCGCTGACGGTGCGGTTGCATTTAAATTTACTTTTGTTTCACTATTGTCATCATTTGTTTCTAATTTTGTCTCTTGTGTATAAATTTCATTTTTAGAATTTTCCCCTTCTGATAGAGTTATTTTTTTTGAATTTACATCTTTTGGTGATATTTCATTCGTTTGGAGAGTATAACTGAATCCTCGATTTTCAGGTTTATTTATGAGATTGTATATCAAGTCTTTATTCTTTAATTGTTGTTGACCAGAATTTGTAGAACTTGGTACGATGCTTAAATTTTTCTTATTAACACTTTTAATGAGAAAATCCATTTCATGATTTTTATAAGATCTACCTTTATTTCTCACATTTCCCTCAATTTTATCATCAAAAGAAGTTTCTTGGCTTTGAATTTCTTTTAGTGAATTGATTCGTTTTCTTTTTTCAGGTAAAGTCTCCACTAGAGGACCGAATAGTGCTTTTTTATCTCTCTCGAATTTTTTTGCACCTGGTCGACCCGTTAGTGCTTTTTTTTCTTCAAATATTTTTTTTGAAATTAAATGACGATGTTGAATGAGAAAAATATTTTGAATTTGATAAATTCTTGCCGCTCTTCTTGAAATTTCTTCCATTATCAACACTGATGACATAACCTCAATTTATTATTTTCGTTATTTTGTTATTTAATATTTCGCTATAGTTTCATGACAATTTATGACACTATTGACTATTGTCAGTGGATTATTTATTTTAATTGTTTCTTTCGTTAAATTTTTATTGGAGAATTTACATTCTATTGTATTTTTGCACAAAAAAGGGGTTAGAACACTTGTCACTGGCAGGTAAAGGTATTTTAATTAATTTTCCGAATTGAATAAAACATGTTACTTTTCTATCACTTTATGAAGTATATTCGTAATTTTGATTAATTTGTAAATGTCTAATTATTGGAAACCTTGAAAACTAAATTTTGATTGTTTTGTTTTCACTCGCACGTGAACAACAACAATTGACCCTCTGGTGTTATTTTTCGTATCTAATGTACAGTTACCGACGAGTAATAGAGTTACCGTCTGTCGGTAACAAATGACTTATCTGCAGAGGGTAATTCGTAATTTTTTTATCATCAAATTAAAATAATAAATTATATTAAATAATGTTCAGTGTTTCTTGTTCTAAAATTTTAGATGAATTAAAATTAAATAATATTTCCAAATTATTATATTAAAAATAAGTTATTTAATAAGACTTGTTATTACTAATGACTTAAATTACAAATTTAAAATCTTAATTCTTTCTTATACGTAATAAAGGAAGTATCAATAATTCCGAGAGAAATTAATAAAGTAACGAATTACATTGGAAATATTATAGTTTAATACTTTTGCGCATGCATATCAAGTAACGGATCTTGAAGCCAAAAACCATTTTTAATGTCAATCATTTAAAGAAAAATTAGTTAAATATTAATTAATTTTATTTTGTTACATCTGATTAATTTTTTTTATTAATTAAATATTATATTATTTAATATTAATTTCTTTTATTATCAAATAAATAAAAAATTATTTAATATTAATTTATTTTATAATTAATAATTAATTTATTAATTAAACAAAAATTTTTGTTAATTAAAAAAATTTTTTTTTGTTAATTTAAAAATATATTTTCTAATAAAAAGTTTTTGTAGTATAAATAATTTTGTTAAATATTCGATATATAGAGATATAAATTAAAGTAGATAGAACTGTTATTACGTAACTTGCGTTGTTTATGAGTACCTTCAACCTAAAGTAATCGCTTTAATCTGCTTCCATTCTTTTATTTATCGTTTTCAATAAATGGACAATTAAATTCAATTCCAATTCTCTATATATAGTGGAAAATATAGTTCTCTTGATTTACGATTGCCGATCATTGTTCCTTAATCAAATCCTTTCGGGTCATGTATTGTGTGTCTACATGTGTGTTATTGAGAGGTACTGTACATTTGAACAAGACAGCAAAGATTTGCCAAGAGATTTAGTACATTTAATAATAATTTATGCACATAATCTTCAATCCGAGCTGTATATTGATTATTGCAGAATTATTTAGGAAAAAAAATACTTTTTCAAAAAACTTTATTCCGAATGTTAATTATAATTTGTAATTTACTAATTTTTTATTTTTATTTTTATTTTTCAGGTCCGACATTTGTATAGAAAATTCTCTAACCGAAGGAAAATTGGCGGGAGTTCCAAGAGCAATAAATAAATGTCGTAGGAAATATAATTGGTAAGTTTTTTTTATTTTTCATTTTATAAACATTTCATAAATTCATATTCATTGATCTTTTTCGTTACCGCATTATTACTTTTGAAAATTTATATTTAGAAATTAATTAAAAACATTTGTTTTATAATTTCAAATTTGAATTTAGTGCGTTTTCGCGCCAGTAGGGGCGCTTGCGTTAAAAGTCCGAACTAGGAACGCGGAACAACTGTTTCGCGCTCGAACCGCGATTATCGGTAATATTCATTGTTGAACTGTCTTTACTTGTTGTTTTCGCATTTGTTTTCAATTTAAAGTTAATTAAAATACTCTACTGTTGTTTCCATCTATTTCGGAATGGTAAAGAAAAAGTCTATTTTCCATTTGCAAAAAGAATTGAATGGAAAATTTTCCTAATAGTAGTGAAAAAGTCGTATGTTTGTGAACCTCACAATTTATTGGTTAGGTTTTCTCGTCTCAACTTTATTGTAAATATTTGCCAATTCACGTAAGATTTTAATTTTACATCAACATATTTCTTGTAAAGTCGAGAATTTTAATGATAATTAGTCTGAATTCTGTTAATATTCGAAACAGTGATGAAGAGATATCAATATTACATTTGTGTTTTTTCTTCTAACAATTTCGCATCTTTCGTAACACAAATTTTTTGTTCAAAAGTTGTTAATATTTTTTTTCAAAATTTAATTGTTTAAATATTAAGTATTGTATATATTCCAGGTACTTGTGCATTCCGATTATGACGATTCTACAAATATAAGAAACGATGGTGATTGTAAGATCAATTATTCGAAGAAATCAGATGATTACAAGCATTACAAGAGATTTAATCCAACTCATCCAACTGATGGTTTTGTTGATGAATATTGAAGGTTAGGAATCCGTTGTCTCATTGCTTCGAAAAAAAGTGAGTCCTTTATATTATTATTTGTGTAATTTACCATTTTATTGCATTTTATTGAAAAATTTGGTTTAAAAGATAAAAATGATCGATAATTCGTGAAACACTTAATGCAGAGAAACAATTTTGCTCCGAAATGAATAATTTTCTTATTCTCTGCAAATGGAGGAAAAAATCTGAATTTTTAAAATATAATTTATTAAATAATAATAATAATATATTAAATATAATTTTTTGAACTCCAATATAATTATTCAATATAATTCAATATAATTATATAGTTTTAATTACATAGTTCAATATAATTATTGACGCGAAAAAAATTTGAAAACGAACATTTAAAATTATTTAAAAACAATTTTTTTACCTAAAGAAATTTAATTATTTTCAATAGTAATAAAACTCTTCGTCAAAATTCAATTATGTTCAAAAATTTTTTAAATTTCAATTATCTTTAGAAATAATCAAATTCTTCTCCGAAATTCAATTATTTTCGAAAATTTTAATAAAATTCTTGGCAAAATTTCAATTATTCTCACAAAAAATTTTCTCAATTCAATGATTTTTAATAAAATTTTCCAAAAGAATTCAATTATTTAAAAAAAAAATTTAATAGAATTCTACACAAACCTTTAATTATTTTTAAAAAATAATAAAAATTTCACAGGAATTTTATTATTTACAAATTTCTTTTTATAAACTTCTTCGCAATCATTCAATTATTTTCATAAATAATAAAATTTGTACAGGGATTCAATTATTTTGGTAATAATAAAAATAATAATAAAATTTTTATTAGGAATTCAATTATTTTTATAAATAATAAAACTCATTGCAGAATTTCAATTATTTTTAATATAATATTTTAATCAAATTCCTCAAGAATGTAATTATTTTAAAAAATTTTATTATAATTCGTCAAAAGAATTCAATTATTTAAAAATTTATTGATACAATTCTTTATAAGAATTCAATTTTAACAAATTATTCAATAATTTTTTTTGTATTTAAATAATTGAATTCTAGTAGAATTTTCTCATAAAAATTTATTTAAAAATGGATTTCAGTTAAAAATTTTGATTATAATTGAATATTAAAAGCATTAGAGCGTAAATTTTTAGAAATAATTGAATTTTGAAAAGGTTTCAGATTAAAATCTTTGAAAATTTGAATTTTTATTTTGTTTTAACTGACAATTCTGTGGAATTAATTTTTTTTTGAGAAAGCTTAAATGCGAATTTTTTTATATTATTTGAAGTTTTTATTTTCTAATATATATCTTCATGTTTTATAGTTATGAAAAATTTAATTTATAGTTTTAAGCAAAATTTCCTTTTACTTGACTCGGACTGGTTATATTTTTGTTAGCAATTGGCCCGTAAATTAATTTTTTTTTTGGGAATAAATCAAATTTACAAAATAAAATTAAATTGATGTATTAATTTTAAATGAAAATTAATTAAATTGATGTTTTAATTTTGAGTAAAAATTAAAATTAAATTGATATTTTAATTTTTAATGAAAATTAACATAAATTGATATTTATGAATGAAAATTAAATTAATGTTTAAATTTTGAATTAAATTTTAATTAATTCTAAAGGGAAATATTTGATATTTATTCTTTTGTATATATAAGTTCATAATTAAGGAAAAGGAATCGATGTTGAAAAGCGCAATTTTTCATTTGCGGCGAAGCGTTAAATTTATAGAATAGATTTGAAAAGGAACTTGCCGATTTTGTTTCCTTTTCTCATACCGCGGGAATAAATTTTAATTCCTAATCCAATGAATCTCGTAACAAAGAAATTTCGTGACCAATATATGTTTATATATTTCTCTAAGACAAAAAAAAATATCGTGTATTAGAAAGGCGTGCACAGCAATTGCACATCTTATACACGACAATTCACGTTTGTCTTTTTAGTGTGTGATTTAACAATTGCGTATGTGTATGAGTGTGTAAAAGAGTGATACAGATACTGTTCCATAAAGTACGTCAATGTAACGATGCAATATCCTAGAGTTTGAAAAATTCTCCCGTATAAAAGGGCGTGTGTCTGATGGTTTCTACATCAGTTTCACTGGAGCAATCTCTTCATTGATACACAATCATCATGCAAACCCTTGTGAGTATTTTACTGTATTTAATTTTTTTTTTTGCGATTTCTAGTAATAATTTTTTTTGAGGCAGTAAAATATCTAATATTTAATTATATTTATGAGACGTACAAATTCTAATAAATAATTAATTTTCCAGGTGCTTTTCGCAATTCTGGCCTTGGTGGCGTCGCCAATTTTCGCCGAAGAAGTTGCTGCAGACAAAAAGGTTGACAAGAGAGGAATTTTGGGTCTTGGATATGGAGGGTACAATGGTTACTATGGTTTAAATGGTTATGGAGGTAATATTAATATTTAAATTAAAAAAATACCCTGTAAGTGAGCAGATTTTTTTAATTAGAAAAAAACCGTTAAATTCATAAATTTATTTAAATGCAAAATTTATGAAAACGAAGGATGTAAATAATTGATTATAATTAATTGAATCAATTATTCGTTAACTTTATTAAATTACAAAATTAATAAAAAAAGAAGCTAATAATCGATTAATATTAATTAAATTAATTATTCATTAATTTCATTCGATTGCAAAATTAAGAAAAGTTGGATGTAATAAAATTTACGAAAAAGACGATTCTAAATAGATTATAATTAATGAAATTGATTATTCATTCATTTCATTCGATTGCAAAATTAAGAAACGTTGGATGAAATAAAATTTATGAATCGAATAGAATAGGAATTATAATAATTAGAATATAAGACGAATATTGTACTAAGAGATTTTTGATTTTTTGTAATTAGGTTATGGACATAATGGATATTTAGGTTCTCCATCAGTGTACTCTGTAGGACACGGAATTGCCCCTGCATACTCTCATGCTTATACAGCACCTCACGCTGCAATTAATCATGGTTATACTGCGCCAATTTATACTGTGCCACGTTTAGGATATCACTCAATTGGACACGGATTAAACTACTTGCATGGCTGGTAAACTTTTTAGTCGTGTAAAAAATCAAAAATTTTCTATATGGAAAGAATTAACTCAATACTATATTATGTAATTATTTTTACATCGCTATTTGTAATTTAAGAATATACGAACAATTTTTCATAATTTTTTTTTATTTTGTAAATTTGAAATAAAAAATAATTTTGGATTGGAAAATTCTTGTGATTTTTGTATTAATGAAAAAAATATCCTTTTCTTAGTTTTTTTTTATGTCTGCGAGATAATAGAAAAAATATATTTAATTATGTTACACACAAAACAAAATTTATTTGATTCAAGTAAACGATTTGTAAAGTAAAGTAAAATTTTGTAAAGTAAACGACTTGTCTGCTATCAAATAAATATTTACTTAAACCAAATAAATATTTACTTGAACCAAATAAATATTTACTTGCACCAAATAAATTTTATTTAAATCAATTAAATTATATATCAACCAATAATTTCACTATTTGAACCTAATACTAATAAATTAATTTAAATAAAAAGCATTTGGTTCAAAGGAAATATTTATTTGATAATTGACAAATAATTGTTTACTTGAATTAAGTAAATTTTTTTCCATTTTTAATTTCGTTAAATAAAAATGATTTAATTCAAGTAAATATTTTTTTTGATAAAAGAGAAGTAATCAGTTATTTGAATCAATAAAAAATTTTGTTTAGTGTTAATGTTAATTTTAAGTGTGACATTAATTATTTTTTGCTTTTCGTTGCATTAAAATATAATGCAGAATTAAACAATGGAAGGTATGAAATTAAATTTATAATATTAAATATTTCCCTTTTTAGAAAGTTGGTTTATGTTTTTACATAAATAATTTAATGAGTTTTTATTAATATGAATTATGATGATTAAAGAATGTTTTTAATAATTTAATTTTCATGTGAAGCATATTTTAAATAATTATATAATATTCAATATTATAATTATATTGAAATAATTTTAATATTGTTTTAATAATTATTAAATATTGAATTTAATTAAATTAAATTTTGGAATTAAATAAATTCCCAAAACTTTGAGTCATACACTAGTGTCAGGAGGGTTGCAGCTTCATTCCCTTTAGAATAGAACAAATTTTTCATTTACTTTAATTATATAATATATTGTTGTACTTCTCTAATTTATATTTTCGTACTTTATCATCTTTGTTATCGGTAGGAACATTTCTTAATGTTTTATTATCTTTATTACTTATCCAAATTATTTATCGTAGTTTTCTTTTGACGTTTATAATTTGTGAAATCTACTTTATCATCTTCAGTAATCTACTTTATCTACAATGATGAAGTAGTTCAGTTCTCTGCCACTAGGCGTCGCATTAGTTTCGCATGGTGGAATATCAATGTGTTTTTCGAGAGTTTTAAAGAGTTTTTACAATCTTCTGACCATGGATTATTAATTTATAAAGGATTTATACATTAGAAACATGAGTTTTCTAGTTAAAAGTGTATCTAACATTGCAAAGTATTGTTTGAGAAGTAATATTCAAGGTATGATTTTGTATTCTTATCGTTGAGAGATTTTTATACTTCCTAACCTCAATTTTGCCATTTATATTTTTATTTTTATTAAATTAATTAACAATTATTGAATTATATTATTAATACATATTGTGCAAACTTATTTATTAAAACATAATTTGAAAATTTCCAGTATCTTGAGTGAGGTTAGAAATAATTTATCAACTTTGTCAAAGTATTGAAATTCTTTGAATATTTTCTTTATTGACACACTAGTTTGATAAAAATTAACTATAAAATAGTGAGATTTTGTTAACAAATCTTAATGACTAGTATTGTTAATGAAAATTAAAGCATAAACATAATTTTTAAATATAAAATTTTCTGGATTAAATAAATGAAACATTGGTATAACCTTAAAGTATTTCAAATTAAAAAATTAAAACAAAGTTTCGGTGAATAAAAATATAAAATGGATATATATTTGCAGGAAATACTACGTCTATAGTAAATCGCTTCTCACATTCAAATAGCACAGGTAAAGATTCCAATAATTAAAAAAATTAATTGATTTTTTCTTTAATTTGAAAACAAACAAAATTTAAATAAATAAGAAACAAAATTTAAAAACAAACGACTAATAATAATTAAAAAAGAGTTTATAAAATTTAACATAACATAAAAATATAACTTACAAAAAATTAAAAACTACTACTAAAAATTAAAATTACTATAATTTAATTTTAGCACAATTATGGAGCGCGGGGAAATTAAATATAATATCTAATTTAATCAAGTCGATCAATCCGATACAGGGTGAGTGTAAAATTAAAAAGATTTTGATTAAATAATTTATATTTTTCAAAAAACTTAATTCTAAATTCACTTAAATATGAAATTAAAATATTTTTTAATAAGTTGAAATTTAATACTTTAAAAAAAAGGATCAATTTAAACCAATTTTAAATGATAAAGAAAAGTTTATGAATATTAAATATTAATTAAAAATTAATTAAACACATTATTTTTTAATAACATTTTTCATAAATTAAATTACGTAAACTATTTTGATCAATGTAAAATAAAATACATGCAGAGAAGAAATTTAATTTATCAAAAGTAGTCGGTGATATGAATATTATTACAGGAATAGTTTGATTCATTTTAAATTTGTTAATAATTGCAATTATTGTAATATTAATATTAACATTAATAGAAATATACTAATATAAGAATAATAATAATAATGATAGTAAGATAAAAATATATTATTTATATTGTATTATTTATTATATTTTACATGTTGTTGCTCTGAAAAAAATTATTCAATTCAAATAACCAATAACTTGTTTATTACCAAATAAATATTTATTTGAAGCAAATGACATTTAATTGATTTAAATAAAAATTATTTAATTATAATAATTTAAATCAATGAAATTGTATTTACTTCAAATACTGAAATTATGTATTCAAGTACAATTTAATTGATTTAAATAAAAATTATTTCATTTAAGTAAATATTTATTTGATAATCGACAAATATTCGGTTATTTGAATCAAATCAATTTTCTTTGCAGTGTAAACGTAAAATTTAATTTTTTAATTTTTATTCTAATTTGTAATAAATTATAATTCATTTTATTTTTAATTTTTATTGCAATCAGTAATTTATGGAAATATTTGTAATAAAAAATATTTGTTTCATTTAAACGTTCCAAATTTGTGAATCATTATTATAAATGACTCAATTAATAAATTTTTAAATAATAATTATAAATAAATAATTTATAAATTTTTGTAGTAATTCATCAAGTTGCAGACTTTATGAAAATTAAATTTTTTCACTGCATTTATTAATAATAATTGTTTAATTTTACATTTATTGTAATTTAAACTAATTTTACATTAATATTTTTCAATTTAAAAATTTTTAATTAATTTTTAATATTTTTTTTATTTCTTTAATATTTTTTTATTTATATAAAAATAGTTTTTAAAACAATCTTGAAAACAAGAGTGTTTAAAACAGGAAAATAGTAACAAAAAAGTGTGAAAAAAATAATATGAAATAAAAATAAATAGTATCAAAAATACTAAAAGAAGGTGCTTTTAGAAAAAAGTCTACTAAACTCTTATGGCCATTTTTATATTTTGGTATAGGGAACGGAAATATTTTTCAATATAACTGCGTTTTACAATGGTTTCCGGGATATTATCGTGTTAATCCTGCTGCACGATTATTTTTCAACTAATATATTTTAATCTCGAAGAATATATGCGCTCACTTTTTTTTTTCCTTTTTGGAAAATCTGAAAATCTTTTGTCTATTGTAAGCTTCTATCAAGTCACAAGTGACCTATTTACATGAAATCGTCTGAAATGTCACTTTCTTTATTTGCATTTCCCATAAAAGCATATAATGTGTCAGAAAATCCGGTCACAAACTTATAGTAGCCTTGTGACAATCTCAAGTTTCTCAATATGTATAATAGTGAGATCTGTATCTCTTAGGCCCGTGCGGAAGGGTGGAGAGTGAGAGAGAGAGAAAGAATTATTTGAAAAAAGAGGTACAAATTCTAAAACTAGTTCACGATTTCCCATCTCATTGAATAGCGTTTTCCCTTATATTTATTATATTCTTTTGCGAAAATGCGCGTGTGGCGAACTATAAGCTTACCTCTTTGATCCCCGCGAAAAAAAGGAGTCTCGAGAAATATATATATAAATATAAGAAAAGGGTATGCGCTGAGTAGCTCTCGGGAAGAATGGGATGCTGTGTTGGGAAACAGCCAATGGTTGGGAAATTGGTGGGAATTGAGGGGGTGACATGTCCATTTGCGGTTGACCAGTCGTCAGACAAGAGAGAATACATTCGCGTTCTGTGAGAAAAATACTTTTTCCTGTTTCTCTAGAGTTTTCTTTTTCTCCATTTTTTTTTCTTTCTTTTCGGTGTAACAATGTAAAGATATTTTCAGTAAAGCGGAATCATTTTCTTAGGTTAACTTTGCATGTTTCCTTTCTTTATTCTTCCTGTTATTCGTTTTAGTTTCAGTCGTTTCGTTTCACTTTTGTAGATGGAAAAAATTTGTTTTTTCATTTAGAGAACATTATTTCTTTGAAAAAAATTCTCAACTTTCTGAATTTGCCACTTTTAACTAATTTGACAGTAACGATTCATTTATATTAAATGAATTAATTAATCAGTAATGGTAATAATTCAGAGTTGCTACAGGTCAGGGAATTCAGGAAAAAGTCTGGGAAATTAGAATTGGTCAGGAAAATCAGGGAAAAGTCAAGGATTTTTATTAAAAGTATTGGAAAAAATTAAATTCAATTATTTTCAAAAGTGATAAACTTCTTCGCATAAAATCAATTAATTATGTTCAAAAATTTTTTTAAATTCTCGTCAAAATTTCAATTATCTTTATAAATAATAAAAATCTTCTCCAAAATCCAATTATTTCCAAAAAATTTAATAAAATTCTTGGCGAAATTTCATTTATTTTTAATATCAACTATTTTATTAAAATTTTCCAAAAGAATTCAATTATTTAAACAAATAATACATTTTTTTATGAGAATTCAATTTTTTAAAAAAATTTGAATAAAATTCTTCACAAGAAATCTATTATTTTCATAAATAATAAAATTTTTTTTCGAGAATTCAATTATCTTAAAAAATTATAATAAATAAATAATTGATCATAGAATACAATTATTATTATTAGCAAAAATGTTTATAGAAATCTTCGAAACAATTCAATTATATCTGCGTAAAAAAATAAAATTCTTCAAAGCAATTCAATTATTTAAGAAATTTTAATTAAATTCTTCCTAAAAATTCAATTCTTTTCAAAAATAAACATTTTCCCGGGAATTCAATTATTCAAAAAAGAATTTTTTTAATTCTTTGTCAGATTTCAATTATTTTTAATTTTTTAATGAAACTTCTCGATGGAATTTAATTATTTTCAAAAAGTTTTAAAAAATTCTGAGAAATTCAATTATTTCGAAAAATTTAAATAAAATTCTTTTAAAAATTCTATTATTTAAACAAATTTTGACAAAATTCTTTACAAGATTTACTTAATAAATTTGCAATTTAAGTAAAATTTTTCTATACAGTTCAATTATTTTCAATACAATTCTACTTGAGAATGTCAACTCGTTTAAGGTTTCACTGTTAATTACCAGTTTTTTTATTAATTCAGATTTAGAGAGCAGGATTTGTATTTTATTTTAAGTAAAACTTTTGATTAATTAAAACAAAATTTGCTCATTTCTGATAATTGCTTTCGTATGTTTGGTTATTACCGGATTTTTCTTTTAATGACAAGTTAATCACTGCACTAATCCTCTGAATTCTTTGTATGCTCGACGTAATTAGGATCCTAAGTGTTTTGTGCAATGAATATTTTAGGGTCACTTACTTTCGATTGTATCAATAATATTCGTTTTTTTTGTAACATGTTTTATCTTTGTTTTATAATTGATAATTATGTAAATTTTAATTAACATAGGAAATTAATTTTGGTCAGTAAAAATTTTATTATGGATTTAAATAAATAATTTTACTATGCTAATTAATAATAATAAATAAATAAATAAATAATTTTACGGTCAATTTGAATTAACGTAGAAAATTATTTTTGCTCATTAAAAAATCAGTTGTGCATTTAAATAAATAATTTTTCTACTAATTAATAATAGTAAAAAGTAAATAAATAATTTTACTGTTAATTCGAATTAACATAAGTAATTAATTTCTGACAGTAAAAATTCAGTTATGGATTTAAATTAATAATTTTACTGTTTGAAATTAGTTTTTTTTATAAAGTTATTAGATTCATTATTTTTAAGATCTTTTTTTAATTGTTTATTAGTAATTTTTTTCCTAATAATTTTTATGCACTAATTTCTGGAGTAGTTTTTGATATTTACGAACATTTTCTTTTAATTAGTGAAATTTTACATTTCATAGTCTTGAACAGGTTCTAATGAATGAAAATTTTCTCCCTTTCGATATTTCCTAATTTTATTGCATTTTAATGAGAAACAGAATAAATTTAACATTTATTAAATAAATAATTTATTTTTTAATGTACAAACTAATATTTTGTATCAAATTTCAAAAATGAATATAGATAAGAAAAAACTTTGTTCATTTTAACGTTGAGAACAGAACAGAAAACAATAAAAAGTTTCTCTTAACAAATATTTTTGTTTAAAATACCTAGTTGATGAAAGAAATTTGTTACAAACTTTCCAAGCGAAAATATCTATAAATTTTATTAGAAAAATAGTTTTTTTTCTAAATTGTTGATTGTTTGAAACAAATTTTTTTCTGAGTCTGGTTATTTTTTATTTTATAAATGTAAATCTAGAGTTTTTTCAAGTAAATCTAGAGTTTTGCTTTAGAAATTTGTTTTCGGGAAAATTTGCCTTTAAAAATAAATGATGGTTTTTAACGACATTATTATTTGAGAAGAATTTACAAATCTGTAATACAAAATTAAAAGATGAAAACTTTCTTTAACGCTTATTTATCGCAATATAAAAGAAGTGCGAAGAAATAATTTTGCATGGATCTTGAGAATTTTTTTCGAATGCATAAATAACAAAGATGAAATAACTTTTGAGAATATGTATACGACAATGACGTGGAAAATTTTTCGCAATGTAATCTTACGCGTATTGATCCTTCCTTGTTCTTTTTTTTTTGTTGGTGGAAGGGGTTGCCTTCCGGAACATAATAATGGATTTTGCTGGTCTCTTTTGGCTTAGTTAAGTCCAAGTTAGGTCGGGATTAGCGA